AAATAAAATTAAAATAATTTTATAAATTTAGAATATGCAAAGCTGTTGTTATGATGCTAAGAAATTAATTAATTCAAGCTAGCCGTAACTGCAATTAATATTAAGCTATCAGTGATTCACATTCAAATATATTTTAAGAATGCTAAAACGACTGTGATGAGAGTTGAATATATTATATGTATACACATAAATTTAAATATACTCAATGCTTAAAATTGTGATGGAAGTTCAAGATGTTGAGATTTGAAAGATAACAAAACGAACTAATCACAAACATATTTCAGATTAAAGTCAAATGTTTGCCATACATCTCTTTGGCAGCTTCACTCTTCATTCAGGTTATCAACTGAATACATTAAACTTTAGTCAATTCTGACATTTGCAAGGTTATCGCAAATTCATGACAAATAACTGGCTTAGAGAAGAAGTATTGTTTTGAACGAAAAGTGTTTAGTGGCTTCTTCGGTTATCGGTTATCGGTTATCAATGGAGTGCTCTTAGGGGTAAGCGCTTGCTGCTCGAGAATACTGTTAATTCTGCTGCACTTGCCATCAGGTGATTATGACTCAGTGACAAATGCCGCCGCCAACTGCAGCTGCAGCTGCAACGCTGAGTGAATCAAATTTTCCATTATAGCGAATTACGGTTGGGTAACGTTCGAATCTAGTGTGAAATCGGCATTTTGTTTTTCCGAGTTCCCATAGCAAAGTGCTCAACGACAATGACATTCGAATGGGTATTATTTTCAGAATGGTAGCTCATGAGAGCACCTTGTTTGCCCAGCAATCGAAGTGCCCACTCCAAGTGGGCCGAAACCCTTATCGGTGGCCATAAAAGGCCCCAGTTCGATGTCAGACTGAACAAATTCATCAAACATGCGCGTGCTGACAGTCGCTGGAGTCTTTGCGGTGGTGCTGAGCCTGAGTAGCGCCAGTCAGTGGTGGGAGAACGGCAACTACTATCAAATATATCCACGTTCGTTTCGCGACTCCGACGGGGATGGCATTGGCGATCTGAATGGCGTGACGGAGAAGCTGCAGTACCTGAAGGACATTGGCATCACGGCGGCATGGCTCTCGCCCATCTTCAAGTCGCCCATGGTGGACTTTGGCTACGACATTGCCGACTTCTATCAGATCCACCCGGAGTACGGCACCATGGAGGACTTTGAGCGCATGATTGCGCGCGCCAAGGAGATTGGCATCAAAATCATTCTGGACTTTGTGCCCAATCACTCGAGCGACAAGAGCGAGTGGTTCATCAAGTCCGTGAACGGAGATCCGCAATACAAGGACTTTTATATCTGGCACAATGGCCGGATCAATCAGCAGACCGGCGAGCGCGAGGCGCCCAGCAATTGGAACTCGGAGTTCAGGTACAGCGCCTGGGAATGGAACGAGGTCAGGCAGCAGTACTACCTCCATCAGTTTGCCATAGGCCAGCCCGATTTGAACTATCGCAATCCCGCCGTGGTCAACGAGATGAAGAATGTGATGAAGTTCTGGCTAGCCAAAGGCGTCTCCGGCTTCCGCATTGATGCGGTGCCCTATCTATTCGAGGTCGATCTCGATCGCTACAATGAGTATCCCGACGAGCCGCTCTCCAACGACAGCGACTGCCCAGATCCGGACGACCACTGCTACACGCAGCACATTTACACCCAAGACCTGCAGGAGACCTACGACATGGTCTACCAGTGGCGCGAGCTCGTCGACGAGTTCCAAGCGGAGCACGGCGGCGATCAGCGCTTCCTCATGACAGAGGCCTACACCAGCTTCGAGAACATCATGAAGTACTACGGCGACGGCATTCGCAACGGCTCCCACGTCCCCTTCAACTTTGACTTCCTCACGAGCATCAACAACGCCTCCAAGGCGACGGAGTACGTGGAGCACATTGAAAAGTGGATGAACGCCATGCCCGCCGGAGTCTCGGCCAATTGGGTCCTGGGCAATCACGACAACAAGCGCGTGGCCTCACGCTTCGGCGTGCAGCGCATCGATCTGATAAACATTCTGCTCCAGACTCTGCCGGGCTTGGCAGTCACCTATAACGGGGAGGAGCTCGGCATGACTGATGTGTACATTAGCTGGGAGGACACCGTGGATCCCAATGCCTGCAACTCCGACCCGCAGCACTACTACAACAGATCTCGAGATCCCGCCCGCACGCCCTACCAATGGGACGCCTCCCCAATGGCGGGTGAGTAAGACTCTAATCCGCAATCTTTATCAAATATCAGTTTGGTATCCCTTGTAGGCTTCACCTATGCTGATCACACCTGGCTGCCAGTTTCGGCTGATTACAAGACGAACAATGCGCTGCAGCAGCTGCGCGCTCCCCAATCCCATCTGCAGATCTTCAAGACTCTGGTGCGTCTGCGACAGGAGCCCTCTTTCCGCACTGGCGAGCTCAAGATTAAGGCCCTGGATGATGATGTCATCATCTACTCGCGGTAATCGCCTGACCTAACTCTCCCACAGTTCACTTGATATTAAATAACTTGATATTTTATTGCACAGTCAAGCGGAGGGCAGCGATCTGTATGTGATTGTGCTCAATCTGGGCAGCACCGCCAAGACCTTGGATCTTACCAAGCAGTTCAGCTTGGGTGCCGAGGCAGAGGTCATAACCAGCTCCCTGCAGTCCCGTTACATTAATGGAGAGACCGTCAAGACCTCTGCGTTTGTGGCCGACGCCAATGTGGGCACCGTTCTGGTCGCCCTCAACTAAACATTCCCTTTGCTTATCCTCTAGCATAAGCAACATTTAATTATAATAAAGTGTCCACAAAACTTAGCCTATTACTAAGGGCTGAGCGCCTATTTCCGTTCACGCAAGCGCAGATGCAGTCCGTTCTCAGATTTAAGGGTCAGCACGGCCGACAATATGGGATCGTACTTGTGACCCTGTCGCTCCCTGCGCTCCTTCTCCTGCTTGGGCAGACCCAGGTAGGTGTTCAGCGTGCCGTCCTTGGACAGCAGCTCATCCACGGCGGGCAGCACCTCGAATGTGCGCACCAGCTTCGATATGACAGTCTTCAGCTCCAGCAGAGCGAACTTTTGGCCAATGCAATTGCGTGGCCCGGCGCTAAAGGGCAAATACTCAAAGGGTCCCGGTTTCTGCTGCTCGAAGCGCTCTGGCTGGAAGCGATGCGGGTCCTTGAACACACGATCATCGTAGCCCAGAATGATGAGAGCCAGATTCAAGGTGGTGCCCTTGGGCATAATGGTGCCCACTGGAAGAGAATCGGAGAGATTTGTATTAAATATTCTAGTTTCCTTCCTTTCCTTTCCGCTGCTTACGTATATCGTAATCTTTGTCTGTGTAACGCCCGATAAAGGGCACGCTGGGATAGACTCGCTGCGCCTCCTTTATGAAGAGGTCCAAGTATTTCATCTCGGAGATTTCCTGGAAGGTGGCATCACGATGCATCTCATTGCCCATGACGGCTTTCTGCTCCTCATAGAGCTTTCGCTGCGGCGACACAGAGAATCTCAGTCTACTTTTAGGCAGCTCAGGTAAATGCGCATTACCTGCTCGTCCGGAAACCGGGAGAGTATATAGCCAGCAAAGGCCACGCCCGAGGTTGTCGTGTCGTGGCCCTCGAACATGAAGGTGGAGACCTCTTCGTAAATCTCCTGCTGATTCAGGGGACGACCATCGATGGTCGCCGAGAGCAGCGTGTCCAGGAAGGCCATCTTCTTGCGTGAGAACTCGCTGCCCTCGTCCGTCTTGGCGGCGCCCGTGCGATGCGCCTTAATGCGCTTCTCAATGATGTCGTTGGTGAAATCTTGCAGAATCTTCAAGGTCCTCGCATGGGCGGCATAGTCCGGGGCCAGGCGATAGAGCATGTGCGTACGCTTCAGTGGATTGAAGGCGCGCATATTGATGTTGTAGCACATGCTGTAAGAAGAAGAGATATATTGAGTGAGTCTGCCTTACTTCACTTTACCTAGAGAAGCCTACTCCTTGAACGCCTTCACGACTTCCACAGTGTCGCGCTTTTCAATTGCATTTATCGGCACGCCCATGGCCGTGTCGCAGATGACATCCAGGGTTAGGTAATGCGTTTCGTCCTGGAAATCGATGATATTATCGCCAGCCGAAACTTCCTT